CAAAGGTTTTTTTTTTTTTTTTTTTTTTTTTTTTTGCATAACCAGGGATTGAACTCAGGTCCTTGTGCTTGCCAGGCAAGCACTTATTCTATCGAGCTATCTCCCCGGCCCCTATCTGGCTTTAATTTCTGTATTTTTTAATAACACAGATGCATGGTACAGCCTTAATTTTCAAAATAGTGCCATTGTCTGGTATCTTTCTACCAGAGAACATTAGCTCTTAGTTCCTTGTATTCCTCCTTGAGGATTCCTCTGTTAGTTGCACCAATATTCAGGGATTATTATGCTAAAATGCTATAAATCCACTTCAGGGTTATATCATTCTCTTTGATTGTATTTCCTTCTTGAAAATATTTGCCATTTTATGGTCTCCTAGAAATCTCAGCAGTATTTCTAGAAAACAGAACTCTCTGGAGAACTGTAGCCAAGCCACTGACCTGTCCATTGGCTTCCCACACAGGACTGACCAGCTTCCAGGACGCTGGAATTCCTGCCTGCTGCTTTGCATGGGCTGGTCTTTCTGGCCTCACGCACCTCCTTCCCCCGGTCTCCCATTGACAACTTTTCTGGAGCCTTTCCTCACCCAGCTTCTGTTAAATCCTCCCTTTCCAAAAACCCTGAGTGTACTTTTTTTGGTGTGTATGTGACTGCATTTTATTTTGGGAATTCTGAATATCTGAAATTGTCTTCATTATCTGAAAATATTTGAAATTTTACTTCATTCATTCATTCATTCATTCATTCATTCATTCATGCTGGACTCTCCACTGTGACGCTTTAACTTTTTTCCTGTAACTTTTTTCCAATATCTGTAATTGGCTGCCATGTTCTCTTCCACTTTTCAAAACACATTCATTTCATTTCAGGTGGCTTCAGGAAAGTGAACAAGTGGCTGATCCTGCCGTGTCTCCCCAGTGTGCCCTGTTTGTGTGTTCAGGCCTGGACCCTGCAGTCCTCTAGAACTGCTCCATGTTTCCCACAGCCTATCCCAATGGACAGCCTATCCCAATGGACAGAGTCCCATTGAGTTCACCTTCAAACATAT